ATTTTTGCTTACGACTTTGAGTTTTTGAGATATAAGCCCAACCTCGTACACGAACTTTCCATAATTCTTTTCCTATCAAATGAGAATAAATAGATAAATGTCATAGCATTTACACACATAATTATTTGATAATTATATTGCTGCATTAACGGATTCTAAACATAATTATCCATTTTGACAATACATTAGCGAAACAATAACGCCAATGACCGGATCTCTATACCTTGCTCTTTTTTTGTTCGACAAGCATATGAAGGAATTAATATACAGTTTTGTTCAGAAGTAACCAACACGTTTTGTTCAGAAGTAGCCAACACTTCAACCTCGGTAGTGGTGCTTATGCTTGCACCTTGTACTTCTTGTGTAGGCCGTGCATCTGCGCGTGAATGATCATTCGGCTCGCAAAAATTTTGTTGAATTTTTTCTTTTACCAAAGCATGAAATTTGTCCATTAAGGACAAGGAATTTTTGCTCAATAGTCCAAAAAGTCAAACGCGAAAAGAAACTCACTATAGAAAATTGAATAATTTCTTCGGGCTTTGCTTAGATCAAGTTTTTTTTTTTAAATGTGCACGATGATCACACAAGAACCACATTAGGGCAGTGTTTTTGATTTTTTTTGGCATCCAAGATATAGGATACCTTTCTTTTGATTGGTCAATTTTGTTTTCGAAAATGTAACATTTTTTAAGTAAAAAAATATAATCAGACAATCTCTAGTCATTAACAAGGAATAACGCACATTATATGAAAGATCCGATTGACATTACTTTGAAGGCAAAATTATTTGTTGTAGATTACACCATGACTCTTAGATAATATAATTTAGTACGGAGAAACAAATCATTACGATTAGCACTATAAAAAAAATCTTAAATTCGTGCACATTTTTTTACTTTCTCAGTTAACATTAAGCACCTACGTACGTACGTACGTACGTAAAAAATAAAATACGTAAGATAAAAGGAAATAAAGGTGCCACAGTATTTTTCTTTCTAATTATAGATTCATTATTGTATACGTAGTATAGTTTATATACCAGATACGTAATATATCTTTTATTTGTGCACGTAAATGTTTATAAATTTGATGCATGAAAATTTTTAAATGAACCATTATGAAGTTGAATGAACATTCACGCGCTTATACCAAAAATTTTAGATTTGTACTACATTCTGACGTTTTCAACCATATTAGTATTAGTGTTAGGTCTAGCTAACGCTAATAGTATTGTATTTTACTAACAATTTGTCACGCGTAAATTTTAGAATGTAACGGTAAGTCTCAATATAAAGCATTCTGGCTTAGCCAGCTAAGCCAGCCGATATAATAACATCATAGGCAGATTCTTTGGTAATATCACGGGTTAAAAAGTACTATTTTCGAAAATTTTTCCGAAATTAAGGGTAACCTATAAATTTCTAAATTGGAAAATTGACACCGCCACCTAACAAGTTTTGAATTCTTCGGTTATAACATGAGGCTTATTAGCCAAACAGTAATAATCAACACAACAAATCAAAAAACGTACACGTATTGTAAATAAGAATTAAGTAGAAAAAAACAAAACAAAAAAAAAAACGTTTCTTGACAAAATTAAGCAAAAACGTGATAG